GGGGGGGGGGGGGCATGAGCAATGCACATCCCACTATATACCCTCTCTTCAGTTCTAGCCTTTATGTTTTTCCACTTATTTGAATTCCTAAGCGTGGCCAAGTGGTAGCATTCTATAAGTAAAATGACCAAACTGACTCAGAGTTCATTGGTTAAGGTGATAGGAGTGATGGATGACAAGAGAAAGTTTATGGAGTGGCCTATTCACTTATAAAAGCTACAAATGACTGATGCTGACTAGCTTAGTTTCCGCATGGATGATTTTGCATTCTTAATAGTCTCACCTTTCCTATTTGCAGCCCCACTCTAGCTTGTGGAGGGACAAAAGATTAACTGAATATATTGCAAACATGCAAAGTTAAAGGGAAAACAAAAACAAACACAGAGACTTGAACCTGTGACCTCTTGTCCAAGCTTCAATCCGATGTTAGACCAACAATTGCTCCAACGCAAGTAAGATCAAATTATCCCCATCAAAATTAAATACTATATAGTCTCATTTTAAAGGGAGAAAATGTATTCGTCATCGTTATATTGAACACGTTTGAGGCTTAGCCCAACTGGAGGTTACAAAGTTTGATACATATCGTTGGGTCCAGGACTCCAGATCAACAGCTTAAGTGTCTGTGACAATGTGGCAGTTGCCATTGATCAAGAAGGAAAATCCAAAAGAGGAACTTGAGTTTTTGGTGTGATTGCCTGGGAATTGAGATAGATCAAACGATTTTGCTATAGGCGACAATTGATAACCAAAAGAAAAGAAAAAAGGAAAATTGATTGTTTGACATTGTGCATGGGCAGACTCTCATAGGCTAGCTTGTCTAGGACTATCAAATCATGATGCACAATTTTGCTTTGTGCTAGTAGATTCTATACCTACTACTTATCTTATCAAACTTATGGCTTGCACCGTATAATACAGACGATGCTGTTAGTCTTGTTAGACTAACAACTTCTTTGTGTGGAATGTCTACTTTGCTGGCACTCTCTCTCTCTCTCATAGGTTTACTTATTAATTTCCTTCTTTGTGGCCAGCTGTCGCAGTGAATGCTAAGCTTCAATATGCTGTTGTTGAAGTGCAATCAGTTTTGGCAGATGTTTCTACGTCTTCTGCAGTTGGAAAAAAGAGGCTAGGCAATGTTTTGAAGGAGCATAAGAAGCCCTGCCTTATCGTTGCTTCAGATCTTGTAACAACATTGGAAACAAAATGGGGCACGAAACTTATTGTGAAGAAAACAGTACAAGGTTCAGAGCTCGAAAATTACAGGTCATGTCTGGAAACAGAATAATGAATTGTACTGTATTTTGGGAGCATTTTATGCCACACAATTTTGCTGACGTCATTAACTGGTTTTCATGTAAAATTTATTGCTAAAATTTACATCGTATAGTACAGAAGTTTTTTAGAATCATTGTTTTATAAATTTCCAGCAATCGTGCATCTCTAACATGTGGTTTCCAACCGTTACTTCAGGTATATTCTTCCAATTGGTGATAGAGAATGCCCTGTTGTCATTGGAGGAGACTACATTACGACAGAGTCAGGAACTGGACTAGTCCATACAGCTCCTGGTCACGGTCAGGAAGATTATGTAACTGGCCTGAAATATGGTTTGCCTATACTTTCCCCTGTAGATGATGATGGCAAGTTTACTGAAGAAGCTGGACAGTTTAGTGGGTTAGATGTACTTGGGGATGGTAATGCTGCTGTTATTGACTACTTGGATGAACATTTGTCAATTATCTTGGTAGAGCCTTACAGTAAGTTGCATTCCCCCTTTTGCAATTCTAAATTGAGTCATTCATCTATTCTTCTTTCGGAATGTTATTATTAGAGAGGATTAGAAACTTATGTATGTAAATTTCATCACTGTTTCTATCATACAGATCACAAGTATCCATATGATTGGAGAACAAAAAAGCCTACTATATTTAGGGCAACTGAGCAATGGTTTGCATCTGTGGAAGGATTCCGGAAGGCTGCTATGGATGCAATTAGCCAAGTAACATGGATTCCACCTCAGGTATTTGGTCCTTTACTGCATCAAGTAGCCTAGAAGTAATACAAGTTCCCAGCCTTTGGCTTTTTATGCTTCTTTTTGTTTCCTTTTAAGAGCCTCCCTAGGCATTGATTCTTTACTTTATGAGGATATTGTTCAATTTCCTTCTGGTGCTTTAGATTTTACGTAGCTTCATTCTTGATTTTGTAGCTTTCTTTTCATCCAATAATTTTATGCTTTTAATAAAGGTTTCATTTTGTTTGACAATCTCATTACCTTTGATCAGGCAGAAAACAGAATTTCTGCAATGACTTCTAGCCGCTCAGATTGGTGTATATCACGGCAAAGGACTTGGGGTGTCCCCATTCCAGTCTTCTATCATATCGAATCAAAGGAACCTTTAATGAATCAAGAGACGATTGATCATATCAAGTGTAAGGCGGCTCCTACATCCAATGATTGCTTTCTACGTTTCTCTATCATATTTGGTTCATAATATATGTTGTTTAATTCGAAGAACATCTTTGATATTCATCTAGAACTTCTACTATCCCATATTTTTATTCCTGTTGTCCATGTAGAAACTTAAAATCCCTTTTCTCTCTCTCTCTCTCTCTCTCTATATATATATATATATATATATACACACACACAGACACATATATTTATCCAGACACATGTATTTCTCTATGCATATATATTCTTAGCTAGTTAAGGAATGTGGCTTTAAGAATGCGATATATGTATACATCTCTAAGATATATGCATATGCTCTTGCAGTGCATCATATGCCTTCCAGATTGTTGGAATCTCAAGTTTGTATTAAGAATTGTCTTAGTTTATATCTAAATTTTGAATTTTCCCATGCTGTGGTCATTCATTTGGCAGCTATAATTTCCCAAAAGGGGAGTGATGCATGGTGGTACATGTCGATAGAGGAATTACTTCCCGACACACATCGCCATAAAGCGTCATACTATGTAAAGGGGACGGACACGATGGATGTGTGGTTTGATTCAGGTATTATAACAAATGACATGAAACTATTTCGTATATGAGAAATTTATGTATTTATCACAAACTCATGAATTCGCTTTCGTGCTGCTTTGTTCCCACCATTGGCTTCTTTAACTACTACAGGGTGACATCATTCTGATCCTTTTCGGACATCAATTGTGAATTTTAAGTTTATCTTTAATGGGGGAAAGGGGTTGTGGAAGACACTTTTATGTCCTTTGTAACTAGTTGCAGAATAGTTGTAGTAGTAATGTAGCTGTTGTTGTCATAATCATGGAATTTTGTGCTCGATATGCAAACAAAGATCACTTCTGCTCAGATTAGTAGTACACTTGAATTGCTTTTGAGGGAAATAATACAACAGAAACTTGAAAGCTTCCAAGAAAGCCATTATGCAAATAAAGGCCTCCGGCCCTCATGTTACTCATGATGAGAGTAGACACCTGATCTGATAGGAAAAACCTGCTGAACAGTCCTATCCATTCAGGCAGAATCTCATGTTGCTTCCTTTGTCCTGATGTCTGCCTCCCATATGTGGCAAGCTTCTATGCATTGACCTCTTGTTTCTTGTTCATCCTACGGTGGCTTAGAAATATCTAGGAAATTGAGGGAGGAAAAAATGTGTGTCCAACCTATGCTTTTACGACTTGCTAATTTTGAAATCATTGGGCTTGTTTGGTTCTTGGTTAAAACCTGGTTTTCTCTCTCCCAAAACTGAGAAAAAGCAAGCAGCACAGAATGTATTTCAATACTTTCTGGAAATTTCCTGTCAGATTTCAGAAATTACCAGTGGGAAAGATGTACCCTAGCTATTTGAGAATGCAAGAGCATGATGCTGAAGCCTCGCCTTTAAGATTTATGCCTTAGTCAGATTGAGGTCCCACATTTAAAGGCCTCACATGCCCCTTGTGATAACAAGATAGAGCTGCTAAATTTTTTCTATCAAAGGGTGATATATTGTTATCATAATCTTCTTGTTATTTTATTTTGATAAAGGTGTGCCTTTCTATAAGCTCCATAAGCATTAAACAAACATCTTAAAAGTAGTTGTTTTCTTCTTTTAATGGGCCCATCTTTTTTACATTTTTATTTTCATAAAATGGACCATCAAAGATGGAACATCCTTCATTGGGATTCTCAAAAGGATTACTTTAATCAACGAAGAAACACACGACAATATGAACTATTTCTCATTGACTAATGTCTATGGATCCGAATGGTTAATTGATTCTTTGCATTTTTTGTAGCATAAAGAACACATAAAAAAGTGCATCAAAATGTTAAGCCTGTCAGCACTTGCTTAGAATCTCGAGTAATTGATGTTAAATCTTGTTACCGAAGTGTGCTTTAAGCTGGTTTAGTAAACCTTTGTTATTTATTCATCTTGTTGAACAAGGGGAAAGACAGATTTATGGGGGTATTAGGCAGAAAGCTTGGGATTTCTGATTCCTCTATCACATTCAGAATGTTTGGTGTAGTCTGCTAAAAGAAGTCAGTGCCCAGTGTTTGTAGATTTTTGTTCCGTAGCACATTCCACACATAATGGATAGTGTTGCTGTATAAGTGCATACTCCTCCAGATCCTTTTCCTATCTGACATCCCACCAGCATTTTCATTACATATTAGTCTAGGTTGTCATTTTGCAAGCATGGCAATACCCACACTTGGATTTTGATACTTCTGATACCAATTGTACCATTACCAAAATTTAAATTGTCTGCCTCAGGCTCTTCTTGGGCTGCTGTGTTGGAGAAAAGAAATGGCCTTAGTTGTCCTGCAGATTTGTATATTGAAGGCACCGACCAGCATCGTGGTTGGTTTCAGAGTTCTTTGTTGACAAGTACTGCTACAAAAGGTAATGAGCGTGTCTGAATTTGATCTTTATCTAGTTCATATATGTGAATAAGAAAAATTGCCCACAAATTTTAGTCAACTGCTCATTGATAAATGATAAAGTTTGTCATGTTCCTGAAGCTACAAATTGGTTTTAGGAGACCTAGCACTTGTATGTTTCGGGCCATGCCTTTCGTTGGCCTACTTTGGGTACTGAAACTAGTTCAAAATCACAGCCTACTATGCTTTATTTAAGTTAGTAAGATGCTGCATGATTCTTTGTCATATTTTCTTTTAATATTGCAGGAAAGGCCCCATATTCTAGTGTTATAACACATGGATTTGTACTGGATGAGAGAGGATTAAAAATGAGCAAATCTTTGGGTAATGTTGTAGATCCAAGAACTGTAATTGAAGGGGGGAAGAACCCGGGGGTTAGTCACTGGTCACTGGTCACTGGTTATATTATATCATCACATCTCATTTTTGCTGAATGATGACTTGTGTTTCTATTTTTTGTTGACAGGAAGCACATTCCTATGGAGCTGATGTCCTAAGACTATGGGTTTCGAGTGTTGATTATACAGGTGATGTTATGGTCGGGCCTCAAGTCCTCCGTCAAATGTCAGACATATATAGGAAGCTGCGAGGAACGTTGCGATTTCTTCTGGCAAATCTTCATGATTGGAAAGTATGTCAGGTTTTCTGTCAATCATAGACATTGAGTTGAGACCATGCTCATCACTTAAATTTTCCTTACATATACCAAAAGCCATTTTTAATCGTTGTTTCTCGTTATCAATATCATTACCGGAAATATTTGAGAAACACTCTCTCAGAGTACAAACACACACAAGCTTGTATTAAATTTTAGTTCACTGTTTTATCCACTTGTCTGATGCTTCATTTGAAGGTTAAAATTGGGTAATGTTTCTGATTGATCTATACAGATAATGATCTTTTGTGTAGTTAGATATCTCCTTCTTTAGTTTCTCACATTTTTATGATTTATTTTTGCAGGCTGATTATGCTGTTTCTTATGATGATCTTCCCACTATTGATCAGCATGCACTGTTCCATCTTGAAAATGTTATAGAGAACATCAGACAGAACTATGAAAATTTTCAGTTCTTCAAAATATTCCAGGTACATATTTTCTTGATTGCATTGATGACTTGATAAATTTTGGAAACAGATGTAATTTTTTCAATGCCAATGTTCTGTATGTGAAGTGGCCGATAACTTTCACTTTGATTTCCTGTCTTTTTGGAAGAAAAGAAAGTACACCTTTAATAAGGAGAGAATTTGCTAATGTTTTCTTGATATGTAAATAATTGTGTATATTTTTTTTTTTTTTGGGGGGGGGGGGGGAAAATTTACTTGTTTGTAGTATTAATCTTTTGCTCCATCAATTCCCCATATCCGGGGTGAACATAAGCTACTTGTTTGGAATTTATAAGTAATGACAAAATCGAAACCATTTCAATCACCATTGACTAGTCAAAGGGCAAGATCTATTCCTTGTGCATGTTTACCAGAATTCAGGTTGTCAAAACTCTAGTTTTTTTTTTTCCTGTCTAGAGCTTTTACTATTGAGACTTGCACAGTAGTTACATTTCTGAAGGTTGCACCCTCTTAATGTTCAAGTCTATGTTTGAAGTGACACATCCAAGATCCATGAAAAGCTACAAAGTGGTCCTAAATTGATCATTAATTTCTCAAGTATCTGAGGAACCTCTAGGGCTTCTGTTGGATGATGCTGGGCATGTACGTAATATTCATTGAACAGTGGCTTTTAACACGTGTCAGTATTTTTGACTTGTGGTGCAAAGTTTTTGTCTCCAAGAGTACATAGGCCATTAATTGATTAAATGGTGCCATAGATGATTACAAAATTGACTCTCACTAACAAACACTTTTTAAATTTAATTTTTCATATTAAATTTCAATTTTCAGTCCATAACGCATAATTAGTGCTCCTAACTGTTTATCAACCCATGACAGATCATTCAACGGTTTGTGATTGTTGATCTCTCAAATTTCTACTTTGATGTTGCCAAAGATCGACTTTATGTTGGGTAATTCTCGTCTTACTTAGCATTGTAATAAACTATGTATTTAGCTATTACCCGTTCCTTTTCCTACCTTTCATCATTTGCATTGGATTTTTCTTGAGATGCTTTAATATCACAAGTTTTACTTTTGTGCTGAACGCTACACACATTTGTGCAATGAATCTAGACGGATTGTTTGTCTTGTAGGTTTCGTAAATTCTATGGTCTATGATTCTCTGTTTCTGGCCTAGTACGCACAGGACCCTATGTTAGGATATTCTCAAGGTTGCATTGGATTTATGGATGCAAAATGTATGTAATTGAATTAAATCACTTACAATTCTAAGAAAAAGGGAGAAGTATTCAATCATGTAAGTGGGATAACTAAATGTTGTTTAATAGCTTAGAATTTTAACATTGCATAGGTATATTGAGAGCCTCATTACAAGTGAATTTGAAAAGTGAAATAACAAAACAAAGGCATTGAACATGAAATCACCTTTTATCAAATTGTTCATTCATTACAATCTAATAAACTGGTCTAATTTGACGTTCTTGTACTCTGAAAACTGTAGCTGATTGTAAGAACACATCGATGATGCTTCTCTAAGGTGTTATCTTTCCAGGGGCTCTACAAGTTTTACACGGAGAAGTTGTCAGACCGTTCTTGCAGCACATCTACTTTCCATAGTAAGGGTGATTGCTCCAATACTACCTCATTTGGCTGAGGATGTGTGGCAGCATCTTCCTTTTGATTATATTACTGAAGATGGTCATATTGCCCAATTTGTTTTTGAGTCAAGATGGCCACCATTAAATGAAAGATGGCTAGCTTTCCCTGAGGAAGAAATTGATTTTTGGGGTAAAATTCTTGAGGTAATCATTCTTCTTCCTGTCAAGATAACAAACTGATCTAAATGACAGTTTGTAATCCAAGCGTATGCTTTGTTAAAAATTCATAAAAAATGTGATAATAATTAGACAACTGCATAATATTTTGTTGAATCTCTCTCTCTCTCTCTCTCTCTCTCTCACACACACACACACACACACAGCAATTTCCTGAATTATTTTGTGCTTTTAAAGTCTATGAGGAGTGTAGGTTGTGGGTAGCCCTTTTGTATCAGGCTATTGGACCCCTCTTCTCCCACCCCCACCCCCACCCCCACCCCAAAAGAAAATAGTGGGAAAAAAGAAAGGAATTTATGAGTTGCTAATGCATATAAACTTAAGATTTGCTAATCGCAATCCCCCTTAATGCATCAGGAAAAATCAGTCTTATATGATTTTAAAAATTTCAAGCTAACTGTTTTGCAACACAGCATTTTGTCCTAATTTTAGCCACTTTGTCCAGCTGAGAACTGAGGTGAATAAAGTCCTGGAGGTTGCCCGTACAGGGAAGTTGATTGGTTCCAGTTTAGAGGCAAAGGTCCATCTCCACACTTCAGATAATGGCCTGGCTGCAAGGTTAAATGACATGATTAAAGCAAGGAATGAAGCAGACACGTTGCCTCGTATATTCATAACATCTCAGGTATGCTTGATTCTTTTTTACACGTTTCAGGTAAAAGCCTCTGGCTCAATCTAGTTATGCAATATTGTATAACTCATATCATTTATAAACTATGTTGTATACAAACTTATATCAGAAGTTTGGGAAAATTGCACCCTACCACGCTCTAATCTTCATTTTTATCATGGGTGTACGGGCAATTGCTTGCTCTTAAAAATGATGGGTAAATTGATGAAACATCCACTTTTAATGGTTGACTGCAGGTAGAAATTCTTTCATCCTTGGAGAATCAACAATCTGAAAATATACCATACAATGGAGAATATCTCATTCAAGGGAAGGACAAAGTTTGGATTGGTGTGTCTTGTGCAGATGGCTTGAAATGTGAAAGATGTTGGAATTTCTCGCCCCAAGTTGGTTCTTTTGCTGAGCATCCTTCACTTTGCAGTCGTTGTTATAAAATTGTCGCTGGTCAATCAAGCCCTGCTTTAGCTGCGGTCAGCTGAGATCACATAGGACAGAATTGAATTCAAAAACACTGTGTCAGCAACTGAATTGAGTACATTTATCAATATCTCTCTCTAATCTCTACGCCCGTGTTCAAAACCTGCTTTGCGGTGAAAGCATAATTTTGGTATGGTTGATTACAATAGGTTCAATTTGCTTAGTAAATGCTGGAATTTGTAGTGATCAGAAAAGAGAAGCTACATTTGTTTGTAGAACGGTACATCTTTGTAATTTATCATGATTGACATTGATGGCATATAGGATCAATATACTTTTCTCAATGTTCTTGGCTGTCTGTAATTCATTAAGTATAGTCTTTGTATCTTGTAAAGAAACATAATAGCAGGTAGTATGAGCATCTCTAACATTTCATGCATATTTATATTGTGCGATCTATTTATCGCATATTCCACCACCTTTTCTGTTTTAACCATTCATCTTCCTCTCCTTGTCTCGTTCAATTGTAATATACATTGAATGGATAGAGGGTGAGGGGTGGTGGAGTGGCTAAAGTTGAGGATGAGGTAGCGGTGTCAATCCTATCTATTGCACAGGTCTCCAGTCTATGGTGGCGTCTCAGAGAAATAGCTGGACGAAAACCTTAAAAATGTTAAGTGAACACGACTCTTGTTTACATTAGCGTCTTAGAGAATAGCTGGTAAGCAACCTTACAACCTATTTTGTTTTTGGGGAATTTTACTTTGCACCCCAAAAAATTTAGGAATTTTTATTTTATACCCTCCTAGATTATACTTTTTACATTAAACCTTTAATGTATTAAAAATATTGTAAAATAGCCTTTCCGTTAGCTTTTATTTCTTATTTTGTCCACCTCAAATGAGTTGATTTTTAGCGAAATGAGAAACGGAAGTTATCCAAAGCGCCACACTGGAATAATTTTAATACATTGAGGTATAATTTGAGAAATTTAAAGCCTGTTTGGTGTGTATATCAAAAAACGGTATGTGAAAACTATTTTTGATAAGAATTTTAAGTTAGTGTTTTTAAAAAATTTTAGATTACAAAACTTGTGTGGTAATATATTTTTAAAAATAGTTTTAAAGAACAAAAATTATAAAATCTGTTTGGACAATAATCATAATTTTCACCTATCTTTTTCTTTCCCTTATCTTTGTCTCCACAAAACACACACACACACACATAAAGGCATACATACACACTCACACAAACACAACACACACATATACATAGATCCACACATATCTGTACTCAGATCTGTGTATATTTGTAGTTGTTGCGAAAAAGAGAGAGAGAGAGAGAGAGAGAGAGAGAGAGAGGGGAGGCAGACGCTGGGCGCTGAAGAGAAAGGGAAAAAAAAAAACGAAGACACTGGGCAGTGAAGCTCAGTGAAGACGTTGGGCAAAGTGGAGAGAGAGAGAGGAACGAAAAAAAAAAAAGACGTTTACTGCTAAGGGAATTCGAAGGGCAGACTTCATTTAATTTGTCTCTGTGTTTCCAAAATTTTCAAAGAAAATTGTGAAAACAAGTTTAACTTGTTTTCTATTTTTTTGCTCCAATTATCTTTTTTTCTCAAAAATTTGAGAACATAAATGCTAAGCAAACAACTTTTGTGTATTTTTGAAATTTTAATAACAAAAAACTGTTTTCAGAAACAAAACAAAACATGCCTTTAATCTTTGAAATTTAAAGGGATAATTTTTTTAAAAATTATCATTTTTGTGGATAATTTATAACATCTGTGATTATTTTTATTACGATTGTGGTTGTTTTTATCACTGTTGTGATACCTAAAAAAGTGATAAAAACAATTATAACAAAAATGGTAAAAACAACTATAATAAAAATAACCACAAATGTTATAAATTATCCATAAAAATGGTAAAAATAATTACCACAATAGTCGTAAAATTAAACACATCAATGTTAAATCATCCACAACAGTGATAAATTTTTTGATTGTAAAATGAATAACAAAAATTGTAAAAATATCTATTAAAATAATAAATTTTAGAAGTGTAAGTGTTGTAGTTATCTTTTGATAAAAAAAATAAAATAATAAATTTTAGAGGTATAGTACCGAATTTCTTTTATCGATACCCTAGTCAAGTCCAAAGTTGGGGGAAGTAAGAGGTTTATAACTCCACCGTCAAAAATTAAGCAACCTCAGCCGCTGTTACTAGTACAATTTCAATATCTTTTCATTGTTGTTTTTCACCATCCCAAAAATTGAAGTCACCCAAGAAATTCACACGAATCCATCCGAAATAGTATGAATTAGATATATGATACACAAATGTTTATTAGCGTGTTCTTCTGCAATCATTTCAGGCGCCTTGCCACGGTTTATGACTCTCTTGCACCTTCTACTAGCACATTCTACTCATAGGGAAACACTGAATTTCATACCATCAACAATGTGAAATTGAAGAGCACTCGATACAAATTAGACTATGCTTTTCAATGTTTTCATTGATAATTATATAATCTTAAAAAAAAAAACACTATGACACAAGAAGATAGTGGTTAATCAAGGAATACAATAACCAATAAGCTCAGACAAATACAGATAACAACAAAATACAAACTGGCAAGTATAAAAAATAGAGAGGTACATCAAAAAAACAATCATGAGGTAAAAAGGGCATCTAAATCTTTGACTTGAAGCCATCAATTTCTTTCGCATTCATGAAGATACCTTGACAGCTTTAAATGCAGGGTGAAGCAACCCAAGCTCATCCTTAACTTCAAGTGGATTGCTAGTCTCATTCCTTGTTCTCTTAACTCTCCTACTTGCAAGTGACTTGTGAGTGAACCCATACATCTGCAGAATCTGATTATCCCCAAAATTAAATGCTCTATCCATCTGCTTCAAGCACCTCTCCACGGGATAATCTCCAAACTTCCCACAAGGCTTGCAACCCACAAAGTGAGTAACAAGCGGCCACCGATGATCGCCAAGACCCGGATGGTAATTCTCAATCATTTCCTCATACCTATCCACCAAAATGCCCCAATAACCATGTAAATAATAAGCATTTTCAAGATACACCTTATCACCCCACCTATCCCTCTGACTCTCCAACAAATAAACCATAGCAGACTGATCATCAGCTTCAAAAACTGGCCTACCCTTAAGCTCTCTAGTCAATATCTTCCCAGCCTCATCCCTAATCTTCCCTTTTGGCCCCATTGGTGCCCAGACATCAAGAATGTCCAGAGACCATTGACAATTCCTAAGCAAAAAACTACCAGTGTTCAATCCAATCCAATTCTTCTGATCATACACCATCTCATTCCACCCATGCATCACAAAGTTATGATCCTTATACCTCTCCCATGGCACCTCAAATGCCATATCTGTAAACATGGCATCACTATCCATCCACCACAGAAACTCCACCTCTGGATGCATCAACAAAAGCTTCCTAATCAATGGCAATTTAGCCCAGAATCCAGCCATTTCAGCATCAAGCAAAGCGAAATTGTAAAAGATCTCAATCCCATGTAACCTACAATAATCAATCTTGTTCTTTATCGATTTCAATAGATAATGATCTCCCACTGGGTTTTCACACGGTTTTGGCGATGACCCAGTAACCAACAACACCCTAGGCTTATTGGGTGCAATGAAATTCGGAAAATTCGAGTTTTTCTTCAACCATTCAACCCTTTGCTCATCCCAATCAGAGATTTTAGGTCCCAGACTATAGGGCTTGTTTGGATCTCGTTTTTGATCACCTTCTTCCTCATCAACCAAAAGTTTCTTGATATCGAAGGTGGCGTAATTGTTGGAATCCGAATAAGAGTCAGTGGCGGTGGAGGTGGTTGTTGCGTCGGCTTCTTCCAGAACACGGCGGGGCTCCACCCTTTTCCGGTAGTAGTGGAAGGTCTCGCGGATCTCATTCAAGTCTTGCTCCGGCGTTCCAAATTTTCCGGCACCCAAGTTTCCCCGGAGGACGATGACTGTGAGGAACAGGCAAAGCAGTGTGAGCTTGCCGTTCCGAAGAATTCTATGGATTTGTCGAATCCGACGAGCGCCTAAAAACCGCTCCAACATTGTATTGAATCGAAAGGTGGAATTTACAGTAGTGTTACAGAAATTTCGAATGAAGGGTTTTTAGGAGGTGGAAAAGGAAAGTTGGAAATTGAATGGCATTGGAGAAGATTAGAGGAAGAAGATCGGGTCTTTTCAGTGAGTTTTTACGACCAAATTGAGATCTAGAAATTAGGACAAATAGGGTTTGATACAAAGTTCTTTGAATGTCGGTGACCAGAGTTGTGTGTGTGTGTGAGAGAGAGAGAGGGAGAGAAGTGGAAGGTAGACTCGGAGAAGGCGGAAGAAAAAGGATTCAGACAATTTTTTATTATTTTTGTCATTTTGCTTAACGCTATGCACGTAATCACATATCGAAGAACATAGACGTGCGGATTTAACGTATTATTAATACTAACATGCTACATTAATTTAATGGACTTCTCTCGTTTATGGGAGAATTATTATTATACTTTATATTCCAAGAGATTTTAAATTTTTTAAATTTTTAAAAATTAAAATTTTCATATATTAAAAATATTATAATATTAAATTGACGAAAAGGAAAATTGTTTAGGCAGACGTGTTGAAAAAAAAAAAAGTTATTGCATTGAAATTAATTCAGAGATATAGATCTTGGTATTTATGTCATTAATTATATAAAAAATAAAAAAAATCATATGTATGACATTTTAATTAGACAAAAAAAATACTATATTCCACGCTAAGATTAAGATTAGGAATAACATTAATATTCTTAGCTGCAGTCAAACGCAAATTCAGTGGTAGGCGCCAGATTGGGCTCGCTCTCAGGCTCAGCACATTGTTTCACAGCTCATGCATTGTGATTGTGATTGTGATGTTAACTTATAGTATAATGTCCTTTTTGCCCTTTTCCGCGTTAAACCTGTCACTTACACTTGTACATTTGATTTTATTACATGAACACCCCTTATATTTTAAAAATGACATTGAAACCCCTTAATTAATCGATCAAATCCATGCCTAGATCTAAACCAATCACCCCCGCCCAAGGTCACACTCCACGACCCGCGACCCATGACTTGAAACTCTCTATGCCCGAAGCCCCAACAATTAAGCAATACCTTTTTTTTTTCCCTCTTTTCCTGCACCACCCCCAACCTCCACCGTTCAGTCACCATTCCTCTCCGTCTCACTCTGCCTCCCACACACAGTTGCTTTAGGAAGAGGTACCACCATCGATCCTCCATGACTCATGGCAGAACTCTCCCAACATTCAAAAAGTGGATCTAGAGCATAGATCTGAAGTACGTATGTGATATCGAAGTACTGATATAAAGAAATTTGATCAAATCAAAGCACAAATTCCCGCTGCCATTAGCAGTGTTAGTGCACAGTTGTGAGGGTTGCTGACAAAGCTTACTCAAACAGATTGCAGATCACAAATGACAGATTGCGTATGTGTGTGTTTATGTATGAGAGAGAGAGAGATTGTATATGTTGGTTGTTGGTGGTGGTTTGAATGCGTTTGTGTGGTGGCAATGGTGAGCAGAGGTGGCTGTTGTTGGTGGTTAATGATGAGTTTTATCTAGTTGGTTTGGAGTTGTCTGAAGATGGGTTGCGTCCAGGTGGTGTGGAGGCGGAAGTGGTTTTAGTGGGTTGTTGTCTCTCCCTCTTTCTCTCCCTCTCTCTTTGTGTGTGCGATCCCTTGTTGTGATTTGGTTTCGGCGATGGTACAAGTTGGGAAACCGGTGATGATGGGCGGTGGGAGGAAGAGTTTACTTAATTAGATAAATAATAAATAAAAATAAATTACTATTGGATAATTGGATAGATAGTTATTAAGATTTTAAAAAACTGATTAATTTTTAAATTGTAATAGTAATCCCAAATATTATTTAATAAACAAGAAGCATTCAATATTTAACTTATTAATTTGATAGATTAGAAAATTAAACATTTAAGGGTTAAAAGTTTAATCTATATATGAAATAAATGACGGGTAAATTTGTAGGGTAAGAACAATATATATTTAAATTATTAAAATTAATTTTGAAAGTTATTTTTGGTATTCTGAGGATTATTATTGATGACATCAGTTTTAACTGTTAACAATTCTAACGTCTGTTAGTTAGATGGGGTGTGATTGTTACAAGTTATAAATGTTAAGGGAGATCGGTGTCATTTTAAAATGTGAAGCGGTGTTTGTGTATTAAAATCAAATGTCAGGAAATGTAAGTGATATTTACCTTTTTTATAAAAAATATTAAATGATATATCTATATTTATATCTCTATTACTTATAAATGTGAAATTTTTTTGATTTTTGATTTTATGTTTAATTATTATAATAAAATTAATTATACTTACTTATATACGTTCATCTATTTTTTTAATATTATTTGATTTTGAACTTATTTTAACTCTTTTATAAAAAATTTTTATATTTTATTACATAAATTAGCAATTGGCCACGTTGGATGCTTCTAGAAAACACCACCTGCCCAACTTTTCTGTCCACTTTGCGTTGTGTTGAGTTGTCAATGGAGTTCAGTTGATTGAGTTCATTTTTTTAAACAAACTAAAAAAATTATTTAAATTTTTCTTATTTAATATTACATAATATTTTCAAATACGGGATAATTATTGGTTTAATATCTACAAGATACCTTTGAATTCATAACTTGTGATTTAAAATAAAAAAAAAAAGTTTATATAAATTAGTACGGGAGTTGATTCAATTACATTCTTCCAAGTCTCTGATCATCTCCTTGAGTAGTTTTTTTCTCTAAAGTTTTATTTTTTAATTTCTCTAGTAACATGGCAAACTTAATTGTTTAATGTCTCTAGTATCAATTTTTTTTTTCTCCTCATACTAAGATTTCCTCTAATAAGTTTTTTTTTTAAATTCTCCACTACGTGCATTATTCACGATTAATGATTAAGGAACCCACTTATATATAATAAATCTTATTTAAATGTATGATAGTGTAGTATATATATTAATGTATACTAATATTTACTAATAATGATAAATTATATAACTAATTATTTATTGGTAGTTAAAGTGACTCTCGAAAACAAGAGTTACAACTTTTCAAATAAAGGTGTCTATTGACATTTAAATGAAGAGTTACACCTCTTGTAAATAGTGTATGAAACATTATAAATATAAGGTTCCTATCCTTGGCCATGAGGATGAAGTTAGTTGTTACATTCTAACTCTATTATCATATTTTGTTGAGATTATTTTCAGAGTTTCATTCAGATTGAGTTCTGATTGAAAAACTATTGTGATGATGATGATGGTGGTGGTGGATTTTGGGTGATGATGGTAGTAGTGATAACCATGAGTGACGGTTGTGGTGGTGGACTGGTGGTGGGCGACAGTGATGATGGTTGACATTAATGGTGATAGGGCAACAACAATGGTGGTGGTAGTGGTGGGTTGTGGGGGTGGGCAGTGACGAAGGTGGTGGTGGGTGATGACGAGTGCTTTTGGGTGACAATGTGATTGATAGTAACGAATGACAGTGGTGGGGGTGGGTGGCGATAATGGTGTGCGATGACGGGTGGTGGTCGTTGGTGGTAGGGGTAAGTAAGAGTGGCTAGCGATGATGGCTGGTGGTGGGTTATGGTAGTGGGAAGTGGTGGGCAACAATAGTGGTGGTGGGTACTAATGGTGGGCGACGGTAGTAGTGAGATGATGGTGGTAATGATAATAAATATAATAATAAGATAACGATGATAGTGGGTGGTGTTAGTAGACGACGGTGGTAGAAATCGATGGTGAGTGACAATGGTGGTGAGGGTTGTTGCAGTGGAGATTGTGATGGTAGTGTTGGTGGGGCAGTGATGGTGGTAGGGGTGATGAAGGGACAGTGACAATGGTGGTAGGGTGGCGGCAGCGGTGATAGTGGTGGTGGTAGTGGGTGTGGTGATGGTGGTGGTGGTAATGGGTGTGGTGATGGTGGGGCGGTGAGTGTAATGACGTTGGTGGTGGTGGAGATATTGATAATGGTGATGATGGTAGTGGCGGTGATGGTAATGATGGCGGTGGTATGGATGGTGGTGGGGCGGTGGGGGAGTTGTAGGGGTAATCGTGGTGGTGGGGTGGTGGTACTGATGATATTAGTCGTTGAATTAACTTTAAAATAAAATTTAAAAATATTTCAACCGTAAAAAAAAAAATCATTTCATTTATGTTTTAGAATTTGAATTGTATTATACTTTATTATATAAATTTTGTGCATTCTTCATTAAAAAGAATATAAAACAAACACAATCATAAATAACAATGTTATTTAGATCTAATTTGTTGAGTTAATGTATCATAACAATACTAATGGACATTTAGTATAATAATACTCCTTATCTTGTAAAAATTTTGCCTTCTTGAGGTTAAGGGTTTAAGTCCCCCTTTCCCTTCCCCTTCCCCCTCCCCCCCCCAAAAAAAAATGTATCATAAACATTGGATTGACAATGAACCCCAACATTAATTAGGGTCTACTATCAATTTAATGACAATGACGCATTAATTCAACAAATAAGGGTAACAAATTAGGCACAAACAACATTTTTTTACCTTAAATAGATGAGATATAAATTTAGCAATTTTTTTTTATTACCTTCCTTTTACCTAAAAGACTTGGAAGAACACAATAAAAATGACATTGCAATCCCTAGATTGTTGGTTTTCTATAAGTTGGTGATTATGTTAGCACCAACCAAATGGGCTCTAATGAAAATTTGAAGACAGATTTTTCTCGTTCATTGAAAGATTAAAATTACGTTTTGGGGTATTATTTTAGTTACATAAAAAACGAAAATGTTTGACAATGTATCGAAAACAAAATAAAAATGAAGAAAAAATTTAGATATTTATTTTCAAAATATACAGAAATATCTTGAAGTACTTCGAAACATTCTGAAACAAACTGCTAAACACATATTGAAAATATCTCGAAACATCCCAAAACACTTTCAAGCATTATTTTTTGATTCAATCACTGATTCATTTCGATCTCTTTGGAAACGAAAACGTTTCGATCGTTCCGTCCTCTAATCAGTATATGAGGAATAAAACAAATCAAAAAATATCACTAATATAATACCCACTTCAGAAGAAAACAAGCTTGAAATTAACAATAATGAGGAATGCCATCCAAACCAAACAAGGCCTAACAAGATCTCCAGCAATTGGGTTCACCAGTTTGAACCTCCGGCGACATGCAACAAGAGCCCCAAAATGCGCAATACACGATACGAATCCGACATGAATTGCACCCATCTTAAGCACAAGAGGATCCCAACCTAAGCTTAAGGAGACTTGAGCAATGTAAAAAGGCAATGCTTTGGGTTGGCTATGGAATCCTCCTTCAGCCCACACCAGCCAAGCTGCTAAACCCATGAGTAATGATGAACCCATTGAGGCTAGGTGCATTAGCCAAAGAGGTGGGAACCAAAATGGCTTGGCTAGGGTCCGGTATCGATGACCCGAACCGAAGAAAAATATTACAATCATGGTTAGGACAAAAGGGACTATTAGTGCAACCATTAGTGACCGGACAGCCTGCTTCGCCATTGCCATTTTCTTTTGTTGTCTAGTCTTGGCAGCCGCAGTGGTGGAGATGGGGTTGGTGGTGGTGGATGCGGTACTGCTGGTGGTAGTGACATTGTCTTTGAATCGATGTTGGAGGTTTGGGGAGGCCATGGACACAGCATAAGAATGAGAAGATGTGACTTTGAACTTTTAGATGAAGTGAGGAAGGAATGCAAGGGCAAAAATGAATGTTCAAGAGCAAATTTAGGGTGCAAAGGTTATGTGGATGTGTGGATTTAAAGAGAGACTATTGGGTATAGTTATTGTGTGGATCATATCATATGAATCTGAAAAAAGAATTATGACCATTCTTTCCACATTTCTATTCCTACCATTCAATTGTATCATTTTTTTTTTTTTGTTAATTATCGATTTAATTCTATGAATTTTGATTTTTAGAAATGCCAAAGCTAAAGTGTTTCAAACTCTTAAGAATAGACATTATTGAGAATAAATGTGATTGCATATATATTTAACATTAATCGAATTGCTCATGAGTTTTTTTCGTAATCCAAACAAGAGATAATTATTTCGTATAGATATTCTAACAAATTGATGTCTTTCAAAAATTTTTTGACCCTTGACGAGAATTAAACTAGACAAATACGAATTCCCCAGATTTTATTTATATACAATAGATATCACCTATAATCGAGAGATGACCAGTGGAGTTCATATAGGGGTGCAACTTGAGCAAGCTAACTTGATTTCAATCCGAGCCCAATTCAAAAAATTAGGACTTGGGTTAGGATTTTTAATACTTAAGTTAGGCTTAGGTCAAAAAACTTCAACCCAAATTTAATTTGGACGAGTCTCAGGTTGAGCCCGAGTTGAACCCAAATATTAAAATTGGGTTCAACTCGAATGAATACTATATACATACAATTTTATGCTAGAGTTAATCTCAACTTAAGTCTGTGCCTCCCTAAAACCCTCACTCACTCTCAATCTCTCGCGGTCTCTCAGTCTCATTCTCAGATTTCTCTCTCCTGCGCCTCTTCCATCTCTCAGCCTCCATTATTTTCGTCTCTGATTATGCAAGGATTTTGTTTAAACAATAAACTCTATATTTGAACAGTGAATTCTATGTTACAAATAACACTGTAATAAGAACAAAGTCAAATAAAAAGGCTATTCGTTCGAGGTCCCCCGACCCAACCCAACCCAATCCAACCCAAATTGTCAATCTAAGACACTGTTTATTACCTCATCAAATACAGAGGAGCTCCAAACCGAGTTTTTTTCCAAACTTAATTTCATAATTCAATCACTTTTAAACTTAATTCATAAACTCAATTTTTTTAAAAAAACGTCATTTGAAATGACGTTTTTTTCTTTAAAAATATCATTTAAAATAACGATTTGAACATAAATTATTTTTCTAAAATCTCATTAAAAATGACATTTTTAAAATCATCATTTAAAATGACATTTTATAAGAAGAATTTGTAACGTGACTTAATATAATGTATGATATTTTGGAACTGTTTATTTTCAGACTTGAATTCGTGATGTATTGTCTGAGTCTGAGCGGTTCTCTTGAGTTTTATTGGGGTGCAGTTCATTTATTAAATGGCCTTATGGGTTCGGGCGATGCTCATGGATCTGTGTTCATGGGTGTTTTCTGAACAGATATCAAGAAGGTGAATCTAAGATTTGTTTGCAATACGTAATAGAGTTACAAAGCTAGTTGTTACTGCTGTAGAAAAGGGCTGGAACTACCCACTCAAAATAAGAATAAATTCCCATCCGAGTTTTGTTTAAATTGGGAGGTAGAGCAAAAGAAATGCTGTATTGATGCTGAGATGTGGAAATGTTTTTACCTAAATGAGGTGTCTTTTCATATCGGTTTTGTTTCACTGAAACTCTGCGGGACCATCACATTTTTAATGTTTTTTGTTATTCTATATAAATGTAAAATTGTAGAAGTTTGTGCTGATTATTTTCATTTCTAGGTTAAATTCCACAAATAAATATTATAGCCTGGGATATTTTTTATTTTTATTTACTGATTTATTTATCAAGATGTACAGCTTGTGGGTATCAGGCAATGTTTGATGTTTTCCTTGGATTATATTAGATGGTTTTATGTTGGTGGTGGTGTTTTCATAATTTTGAATTATTGGTGCTTGTGATTTGTGTCAGAAGGCTCGGCTGATGGTGAGAAGAAGCTGCAGTTGGATCTACAGGGTCTTAATTCAAAGGGTAGGCGATAATTCTCTCTACTAAATGGGGGAAATCTCCACTTCTCATCTGGTATTTTCGATTTAATTTTGCGAGAATTGATGGTATTACAAGTAATAACCAGATACATATACTTTTACCCTTTTGTTTTTGTTTTCTTTTTTGAGTAGGAATCCAAGTAGATGTGGAATTGAAGGGTGCTGGAAATAGTGGGGCTAAAAAGGCATCAGCAGGCAGAGGAAAAGGCGGTTCTGATAGCAAAGATAAGAGAGGGGGACGAGGTGCTGGTGCTGCTTCCAAGAGAAATAGATGAAAGGGCGAATTTTGTTGTTCATAACCAGTTTAAATAGTGTTTCCCCACATCGCCTTTTCCTTCTTTTTCGGGTTCCTTGGTGGGGGTGTTGGTGGATTGTTTTTGCAGCCTTTGTAAAGGGGAAGATAACTCTTTGGTTGACCTTTTGAGTGTCTTGTATTTTTTTTTTTTTTCCAAAATGGTGGCGAGTCATTGACTAGTATTTGATCAAAATATGCTGGCATGTAAGGCCTTTTTTAGCTCATGCAGTTGCTTAGCATGAGCTAAGTTTTTCTTTTTGCTCTCATTCTAATTTTTAGAAGGTTCAGAAATAGAAGAAAGGAGAGACTCGCTACCCATTCAAAGGTGGTGCCACATTTGCATGAGGTTTTCATTACTATGGCTACCATTTTGGAGACTGCTGGGGTGCCAATTGGGTGGTGGTTTACTTGGAAGGGATGGATAGGTGGGAGGAGCTGACGGTGTGGGTGGGGTTAGCCGGGGGGCATGTGGAGGGGAGCGGGGGTGTATTTCGGGAGTTCGTGTTGGATTACTCCGAGGTAAACTATCGAAGGCATTCCAACAGTGGCGAAGGCTGCACACATGGTGGTTGCAAAAATCACCTCGGTCAATTTGTCTAGCATTGTATTAGTGATAACCTCCATGGATGTTTATTGGTATTTGCAAGTAAATGGCATAAAATTGCAGAGTATATGGAAATTATACGCATGGCAAAGAATTGATCCCATGGATTGAAGGATTGATCTAGAAAGCGAAAATCAGAAAAAAAAAAAAAAAGAAAAAAGAATTACAGAGAGAGTTGAAGGGGATTGATCCTTGTGAAAGTGAATCGATTCATGAAATTTGGACAAAAAAGAGATCAGGATTGATCCAATTTATAAAGGATCGATCCAACTTATAAGGAATCAAAAACAATGTCAGATACTCTAGCTTTTCCATTGGCTTTGTTTGATTGTTTTAGAAAATACCAAGCAACCCATTCTAAATTATGATAAAAAAAATATTAAGCGACCCGTTCTAAATTAAGATTAATACTCAGTGTGGGATGACTATGAATGAAATGATGTACGTTGATGATTTATAATTGTAGAATTTCAAAACACGCTTTTAAGTTTTTTTATTAAATATATATTTTACTAATATCTTTACTAATAAGATAGGACTCATTTTGAATTTATTTGAGAAAGCACAGTTAAACCCTCTGCTCCTCTCTCTCTCTCCAATCTGCCATGGAATCATCTGCACAACCCTCCTCCTCGGCTCCTTCTCTCTGCCATGGAACTAGCAGCACAGCCCAGGTATACCCACCTCTCTCTCTATCTCTCTCTCCCTCTCTCTCTTTCACGACCCACAGCAGACACAGATAACACACACACAAACACAACACAAATCTGTGTGTGATTTGTGTTTGGGTTTTTGAATTTAGGTTAATTTGGGTATGTTTAATTTGGGTGTTTTTAATTTGTCTTTTTTAACTTTTGGTGTTTAATTTGGGTGTTTTCAATTTTTTTTTATAGTTATAGTTATGCAATTTTTTTTTGTGAAATGAGGAAAGTTCTTGCTTTATGGAAGCTGTTTTTATATGGTCCTTTGTTTGTGAAATGAGGAAAGTTTTAAGCCGCCTTTCTTTGGATGGATGTGTAAGGACATTTGATGGATTTTAAGGACATTGAGCAAATGGGATGTGTACCTTTCTATCATGAGCTTTGTTAATTTTATTAGCTTACATAATTTAATTTTATGTTCTGTGCTGTGTTCAAGCATCATTATGATGAAAACCATTATAGGAAAAGTAAAAAAAGATGGCACAGAACATAATGATGCTTGAACACATCATTATGTTCTGTGTTGTGGGTCGTGAAAGAGAGAGAGGGAGAGAAGGGGGTATACCTGGGCTGTGCTACTAGTTCCATGGCAGATTGGAGAGAGAGGGGCAGAGGGTTTAATTGGGGGTGGCGTGTGTTTGGGTTCAAAATGGGCGGGATTTTTTTTTTGGGTTGAGATGCATTGCAAGCCATTGGATTGAAATAGAAGAAATGAGATGAAAATGTGGGCCTTTGAATTAAAAGTGGATTTAATCTGAGTCGTTCTTATGCTTTTTCAAATAAATTAAATTTTAAAGTAGAAAAAGATTCAAAATGAGTCCTATCTTATTAGTAAAGATAAAAATATGAAATTAAATTATGCTTTTATGAATTTTATTTTCGATTATAAAATAAGTTCAAATTTTTTATGAAAAAGGAATTAAATTCTAAAATTTATTTATTTATTTATTTATTTGGTAAATCATGATGTGAAACATAAAGTGAGGTTATTTAGCTTTTATGAAATTTATTACAAGTTGGTAGTCGGAAACTTTTGGCTAAGAAAACGTCAATGTAAAACGTTAAGGGGTAGAAAACTTCAATGTAAAAGGCTTAGGGATAAAAAATGTCAATATAAAAGCTAAGGGCGTAGAAAATGTGATTAAACATAACATGATATAAAACGTCATTATAAATAATTTTTTAACCTCTTTATTTTTTTAAACGTCTGTTAAGTTCCGTTAAAAATTCTTGTTACAAAACGTCATTAAAAATGATGTTTTAGGGAAAAAAAAAATTTCATGTTCAAATCGTCATTCCAAATGACCTTTTTAGGGAGAAGACGTCATTTCAAATGATATTTTTAAAAAAAGATTGAGTTTGATAATTAAGTTTAAAAATGATTGAATTATGAAATTAAGCTCCGAGAGGTTGGGTTTGGGGAAAAACTCGTTCCAAACCTCTTCATCCTAATGGACAGTGATCATTCCAACTGTATCCAAACCTATTGGAGCTGTACACATGCTGTTTTTCGGAGTGATAAAGACATTACTAGGGCTAGAATGAATGCTTTGAGTGAGAGTGTCACCGATTCAAGGAAGGTAAAGATGGCAAATGGTTGGAACCACCCAACCCAACACACTCAATTATTTTGGTGGTCCTAAAAAGATGATATTGACGAGTGGATATGAAAGGAAAGGAGGACAAGTCCAAAGTGTTCATTCATACATCAATGGAAATGCTATTAATGCTATTTACCATTATTTATTTTTTCGATACCGTGTTCAATTCCTACTATTAATTTCGTTTTCTATTATTAATGATCAATTCCTGTATTGATCCTCAATCCTCATCGTCAGTTTGTTTTCATGCCATACAATTACTCGGTACGTGGCATATCAAATTTATATCATGTATAAATTGTATTTAATGAGCTCGTATTCAATATCCACCCGTTTTTACTATTTGAATGCGCTAATCCTCACTCAAAATTCATTAATTTTATGTTGATTTAATGTCAAGTTCTCGGCTCATGTCTTAAATTGTCGAGCCTAGAAATTAAAATCCTTCTAAAATGACAAAAATAATAAAAAATGATATTAATTTTATAAAAACAAATAATTAGGCCATTAAAACACCAAGCACAAATGTTGTGATAATGCATACATTTAATTTTCATATGATCCTAAAAGACCCAAAATTCAAAAAATAAAAATAAAAAAGGAAAAAAAATAGAATATGAATTTATTATAGATAATAAAATAAAAATAAAAAAGACTTAACCGTTACGACGGCAACGTGTGATGGCACTGCACCCACGAGTGTACGGGTTGGCCGGAGCTCCGGGCCTGCAATTGTAGTACGACGCACCGCGTCTCGAACAGGGCACAGTGTTCCTCTTCAGCGCACCGTAGCTTATGTATCTCCTAGCCGCTAACATGCGACGGTTGATCTCCGAGTCCATCTCGAACTCAAACCCTAACTCCGTCTCGTCCCCAGCTCCTAGACACTCCGCAATCGTCCCTCGACATGTCGCAGACGACATCGCCGGAATCCAGCCCAGTTTGTAGTGGTCCCCACTTGAAGTTGAAGCTTCAACGGCCGAAAATGAAAGCAACATGTTGGTGACACCGATGAAAAGTGCAAAGATTACGAGAAAATCAGAAGATTTCGCCATTGTTGTCCTCTCTCTTTCTCTCTGGGAGTGCGTATCCAGAAGTATATGTGAAAGTGGGCTAATGAGGATGTGTGTGGGGGAAGATTTATGGAGATGCGATTTGAATTTGTCGATGAGCTGTGTTGCTTTTTTTTTTTTGGTCAGCAAATTGATGCTAATTTTGAGTGCAGAGACATGACGACAATCGTAGTGTAGAAGCATTTTGGCAATAACGCGTAGTGGCTGAGATGTCTTGTGGTGAAATTTGGTTACTTGACAAGTGACTTGACACCAGACTATGCGACTTTTTTCGTCCCCACTTGAATGGCTTATTTTTAATTGAATGGACAAAAAAATTAGTTAAAATTTACACAAATTAATTGAAACACCATTAACTAAAATATCAAAAAAAAAATATTTTTAGACAAAAAGGGAAATTGGATTATGGAATCAACACTATTATGCAAACTAAATTTTCTTACCGAATTTTTTATCGTAAGCGATGTGGCACAGAATTCTTATAGATAGTCTAGTGGTTAAGTTTGTACTCTTGCAAGTAAAATGTGTTAAGTTTGATACTTTTTATACACTTTAAGAGTCAGTCACTCTTGCTCCTAACGAGACATATTTTTAAACTAATTCAAGTTATGGTTATTAGCGCAGAGCTCGAGTGAGTAGTAGATGCAAACTTGAATACTCTATAGTTTAAAACAAAAGTGATACGGTATAATTTTTATCATCAAATAAGTGGATTCCATTATTATTTAATAATAGAGATTATACCACATTACTTAAAGATAAAAAATCTGATAACTGTTATGGAATCAACACTCCTATGCTGATTTAAAGATAATAGAAAAAAATGCTGATTTATGACCAAAAAAAAAAAAATGGAATAAGATTGGTTGTGATTTGAATGAGATTTTTATTTTTTTTTGGGGTCAGATTTGAATGAGATTCGCTCACGCGGAAATCACTAGTCTGCTTTCCTAACTGAGAAGGTATAGATAAATTGAAATTACATAGGAACCCCTGTAAATTTTGAAATCATAATTGGCTCTCCTTGTTTCTTCTATTTTATAACTCACCCAAGTTTCTCAATTAGTGCATCAACTTTAGCTAGGGGTCAGGTTAATCTTCTCTTAATTATTCCAATCCAATAACCTAAACCAATGACCATCTAACTCCTAGTTTTGGACCTTGTGAAAAAAAAATTGTTAAATAATCACATGAAAATCTAAATCAGAATTTTTTAAATTAGATTTTGTAAATATAAAGCTTATTTGGATGGATTTTTGGAGAGGGATTGGATTAGCTTACCCAACCCCTTCTAACCTCAAACCCTTTTTTACAAAAATGATATTCAATATTGAATCCGGTTTATATTTATGTTTGATATGCAACACATACACATGTAAGACCCACATATATATTATAATTATTAACAACTATTTATCATTTAAAAGACTATTTTATCCCTGATTAATCTAATTCATACTCATGTTAAGAGGTACAATTGTCTTTTATATCCTTAATCTCTTAATCTATCTTCCTAAACCCACCCCCTTAGGTTTGATGAAATCCATGATCATGGATTTAATATTCGGGCTCACTATGGGCCGAGTTTGAGAAAACTTATGATTGAATTTTCAATCCAAACATAAAATTTAAAAATCTTTTAAACTATTTTTACTAAACTCATTTTACCAAACCGCCGTATCCCCTTACCAAGCAGTCCCAAAGAGTCCTCTCATTATCGATCAGTAGACATTATTTGACTGGATCTAGCCCAGGCCCTGAAGCTTTAGAGTATAGTTAGGTGGTCAAGCTGGAGAGGTCGGTTGGCCCATAAGGTATAAGCAGTGTGTGTAGGAGATGTTCATAACAAAAGCAGTGGATCTAAACCCAGGTAGCCCATTGAAGACTAGAACTAACAATAAATTTAGACGGGTTTGAAATTTGATTATTTTTTTCAAATTTTTAATTCTGATATGAAAGGTCTGAAAAAATTAGTCGAGATACGTGAAAGCTGATCCAGACACTCTGATCACAATACCAAAAAAAAAAAAAAAAGAAGCAGTGGGTCTCCTCCTCCATCCATAATTTGTGGACCTTGCCAAATTATTTAATGTAACTATAATACATATTATCATTGACGTGTGATTTTAAATCAATACGTAAACCTAATAAACCCTAGTATTTAAAAAAAACACTATCACATCAATGACCACATTCGAATAAGTTTAGGTAGTCCATAATGACAAGGGGTGTAGTGTCCTTAAAGGTTGGCCCATAGTAGTCTCGGGTCTATGGTTTAGTGGGTTAGAACCACAATAACTGGATTACAATACCATGTTTGATAGAGTGGAAAATATGGTGGAAGAAAAATGGAGGGAGGAAAATATGATGGAAAAAAAATGTTTCTACGGTTTGGTTGAGAGGAAAAATAGGATGGAAAGAAAGGTTGGAAGTATTCTCTTTCCTCCTTGTTCATCAAAATTTTTTCATCTAAATTTGGGGGGAAAATAGAAGGAAAAAGAGAGAGAGATTAGGTTATTCATGGTGATTTTACTTTTTTGTCTTTTATTTGTTCCTCATCTATCAAACACATGCATGGAAGTTCAAGAAGAAAGAAGAAAACTTGTAGAAGAGCCAGTCTAGTGAGCATGTTACTGTTCGCTTGAATCCCAATGACCTTTCTCTTTCTGATTTAACAAACTCACAAAAATTATTTTGTTAAAAAAAATAATGAAGCGTGTTTTTCAATTTCAAAAATTTATCTGCTATCTTCTACCAAATGTGTTATTTCAAAAAGTTTATTAAGTCTATACATATTTTCTTTCTTTTTATTTTTCCTCTAATACCGAACGATGAAAAATTAATGCCTCTAACCTTCCATTCATTATATCAAACATAAAAGAGAGAAAATACTTTTCATTCTTCAAATGATGAAAATTCTATTCGTCCTATTTTTTCATTCTTCTAACTTTTTATCTCTCTTAAAGATCATAAAGGTGGGTGATTTCTATCTATGCAAAATGGGCAAACTCATCCTATTTTTTATTTGAATTTTAGGTTATTATAGAAGTAATTAATGACCTAATAGCTAGAATCCTTGGGCTTAGCACACGATTTTTGTTGAATTTACGTAGTTTATAAATATAACCTTTACAATAAAAAACATAGTCGAAGGAATCTAGTCAAATTTAGTATATTAATCTTCATTTCATATTAGAAAAGTCCCCTTTCATAGACTTATTAGAACCTTCTTCTCCTTGTAACTTAGAATTTGAAGATGCCTTTACCATTACACATACACACACACACATATATATATATATATTGTTATATCTTCTGGTAACTTAATTTGATACCTATTGGTCACTAATGAACACAAGTCAAACTTTTCCACTACCGAAAAACTCTTAGCAGCGAGTCACAACTTGAACTTCGTCTCTAGAGTTTAAAGTTTCATTGTTGTTATTATATTTTTAGCAATTTAATACTATAATATTTGGTGTTTATGAGATACTACATGATAATACTATCTGATTTAACTCACATATAAAATATTATATATTCCCAATTAATTCTTATCACGTGTGAAGTTGTCATATGTTTTTTTTTAAAAAAAAATCATGATGTGGGTCGAATAAATAAGTGTTGTGATAATTTTTTTATTAGGTTGTACGCGAAAATAAAACTAGTGAGAGCATCTTCAACCAAAAAAAAGTTAGTTTAGGTATTCAAAAAATAATATTTTTCATTTTAGTTACTCACTTTTTCACTATACACTCCAACGAATATTTTTTTTTTTTTTNATTTTTCCTCTAATACCGAACGATGAAAAATTAATGCCTCTAACCTTCCATTCATTATATCAAACATAAAAGAGAGAAAATACTTTTCATTCTTCAAATGATGAAAATTCTATTCGTCCTATTTTTTCATTCTTCTAACTTTTTATCTCTCTTAAAGATCATAAAGGTGGGTGATTTCTATCTATGCAAAATGGGCAAACTCATCCTATTTTTTATTTGAATTTTAGGTTATTATAGAAGTAATTAATGACCTAATAGCTAGAATCCTTGGGCTTAGCACACGATTTTTGTTGAATTTACGTAGTTTATAAATATAACCTTTACAATAAAAAACATAGTCGAAGGAATCTAGTCAAATTTAGTATATTAATCTTCATTTCATATTAGAAAAGTCCCCTTTCATAGACTTATTAGAACCTTCTTCTCCTTGTAACTTAGAATTTGAAGATGCCTTTACCATTACACATACACACACACACATATATATATATATATTGTTATATCTTCTGGTAACTTAATTTGATACCTATTGGTCACTAATGAACACAAGTCAAACTTTTCCACTACCGAAAAACTCTTAGCAGCGAGTCACAACTTGAACTTCGTCTCTAGAGTTTAAAGTTTCATTGTTGTTATTATATTTTTAGCAATTTAATACTATAATATTTGGTGTTTATGAGATACTACATGATAATACTATCTGATTTAACTCACATATAAAATATTATATATTCCCAATTAATTCTTATCACGTGTGAAGTTGTCATATGTTTTTTTTTAAAAAAAAATCATGATGTGGGTCGAATAAATAAGTGTTGTGATAATTTTTTTATTAGGTTGTACGCGAAAATAAAACTAGTGAGAGCATCTTCAACCAAAAAAAAGTTAGTTTAGGTATTCAAAAAATAATATTTTTCATTTTAGTTACTCACTTTTTCACTATACACTCCAACGAATATTTTTTTTTTTTTTAATTACTTCCTTAAAATATTATTTCTCATTTTTTTTGCATTATTTTTCTTTGGGCATAATGAGAGGGAGGGAGGGAGAGAGAGAGAATAGAGAAAATGAAAGGAGGAGAAGAAAAATATTGTAAAGTATTTATTTATGTTGCTAGTGATTATCTATACATAGATTTTCACTATAACAAAATATTATTTTAAATTCTTCGGAAATGTTTTATTGTAGTGAAATTTTAAGGTAAAATATTTAAATTTTAAAATTTGTGTGTACTTTAGCCAAAGAAAATATTTAATGCAATGGTGATATAATGCTAGTATTGATGACATAGTATTACCAACCAATAATAAAACCTCAAATGGATAAAAAACACCTTTCTTGAGTACTGCAGTTATTAATTTACATGGAAGAAGAGTGAGTAGTTATTGTCTT